CCCTTCTGTGCTTGTGGCCCTTGGTGGGTATCATTGCTCCCTGAGTGAGCCTCCTTCGGCTCCCTGGGTCTCCAGGTCCCTATCTGAATCTCAGCGCCGCCCTTTCTATGTGTTTATGTCCCTCTCTCCGAAGCGTCCTTCTCCCGCCATGTTGGTCTCCTTCTAGATGTGCTTGGAGGCCTCTCCATCTTCCTGTGGGTGTGTCTCTCTGGCTCTCACTCCACCGCCCTCCAGTATAGGTCTCTCTCTTCTGTGTATCTCTCTTGTGCATCTTTCTCTGTGGTTTCTCATCCTGTGTGTATTTATTTGTGCCCTTGTCCCTCTACCTGGGTAAAGACTGTTGGCCTTGGAGTCAAACTTGGGCAAGTCATCTTACCTGTGGGGGCCTGTTTTTGCATCTCTAAAATAAGGATATTAATTCTTAATCACGTAGGGTTGTTTGGGGATCGAATGAGACCCCAGGCATGGAACCACAGCGCAGAACCTGACACACAATAGGAGATCTGCAAAGTTCTTTCTCTCAACCTGTTGAGGCTTTTCTTTCAACGTGGAACTTTCTCTTCCTCTTTGCTGCCTGGCGAGTGTTTATACGAGTAGATCGCCCTTCTGGGTGTGTCTTTCTTTTCTTTGAATATCCCAACCCCTCATCCTGGTTATGCATGTCTGGGGCTTCCCTCATGCATGTCTAGAGCTCCCTAGCTGTGGGGGTGAGTCATTTCATTCTTCTGGACATGGGAGCTGCTTCTCCCTGGCCTGGGTATATGGTGGGTTGGTGCGCTCGTGCATGTGCCGCTGTGCTGCGTGGAAGGTTCTTTGCTGTCGGTGTCTTCCCTACCATGGGTGGAAATGCTTCTCTCGGAGTGTCACCTCCTGTGTCCCACCTCTGCTGGATGTGTGCTCAAACTTGTGCCCCTCTGACATATCTTGTCTTCAGGTTTGGTGCCTGGAGGCAGTGAGGCTCAGGGTGTGTGTATCAGTTCCTGTCATCTTGACACTGATGCTGGCCGCAAGGCTGTCTGGCTGCTGCAGCAATTAGGCTGAACCCCCTCCCCGGCTGACTTCATACTGGCTCTTGGGAGGAAGGGGCTGTATTCCCTGGGGGAAGTGGGTGGAAGGATGCTCCTCTGGAGGTCACACCTGGCAGAGAGCGTCTGCCCAGGGCAGGGAGTTGGCTTCTTGGATCTGTCTGGGTGTTGCCCCCAGTCCACACAAGCGGCATGGGTGCCTCCTCTTTGTGGTTGGAGGGCGCATCCTCTTGTGGTTTTGAATTGACAGGACAGGCTCGTTCTTCTCTTGCTGCTTCTGGCTTGACTTACACTCTGTCCCTGCAGACTCAGATGTGCATCCTCTCAGCCTTGCAGCTGGAGTGGCCTCACCGTCTCACTCCTTTTCTGCCCTCTAAGAAGCCTTCTGCCTTCGAGGGTCTCCACTCCAGCCCTTCCCATTATGAAGGATACTGTGAACCAGGGTCAGGTGGACCATGGGGCGGGTAGCTAGCATACCTGGGTCGGGGTCCCCAACACCCTCCCACTCTCACCTCTCTGGACCTCACTTTCCCCATCTGTAAATAACAGGCAGTGCTTCCCATAGAACTTTCTGCAATGGTGGAAATGTTCTATATCTGGGCTGCGTAATAGAGGAGCCGTGTGTGGCTGTTAAGCTCTTTTTTTTTTTTTTTTAACTTTATTTATTTATTTTTTCCCCCCCAAGCCCCAGTAGATAGTTGTATGTCATAGCTGCACATCCTTCTAGTTGCTGTGTGTGGGACGCAGCCTCAGCATGGCCGGAGAAGCAGTGCGTCGGTACGCGCCCGGGATCCAAACCCCAGGCCGCCAGCAGCGGAGCGCGCGCACTTTAACTGCTAAGCCACGGAGCCGGCTCCTGTTAAGCTCTTGACACGTGGTTACTGCAACCAGTGAACTAAAATTTTAATTTAATTAATTTAAATGTAAATGGCCATATGTGGCTACCATGTTGGACGGCATGGCTCTAAGGTTTCTTCTAGCTCCAAAGGCTTATGACCCTTGGCTGAATGGGGAGAGTTCCCCAAAGCTCCAAAGACCCTGCTTTGGGTAGCAGCGGGGCAGAGCCTTCAGGCCCTGGGAAGCCTGGCTTCACCTGACTTGTGTGGGAGGAGAAGACGGACCATGTGGGCTTGGTACAGGCTCCAGGGATGGGAGAGACTGAGAGCTGGGATCCAAATGCAGAAAACAGGCCTTTGCCACTGTGGCCTCAAATTCCCCCATCAGCACCCCCATGTCAGCCACCTGAAAGGCCCAGATCAGGTCAGAGAGGAGGGGAGTCTTTTCTGGCTGTGCCAGGCGGGGAGGCCCGAGCCAGAGCAGGCTGGGTGGTTGGCAGCCCCACCTGGCCGGGAAGCCAGCGGGTGCCCTGCTAGGACCAACCTGCAGCCTCGGGTCCAACGGCTCCTCTTCTCGTGGACTGTGGATGCTTCTCCTCTCAGCATGGTCTTCTCCCCTCCTCGTTAGGTGCCTGGGTCGAGGCATGCAACAGGTCCCTCCTGATCCTCCACACTGTGCTTCCGGGGACTCCTGGCCTGGGGCTTCGCCCTGAGGAGCTGGCAGGGAAGCCGACTGCCTGTCCCCACTGGAGCCCCAGCCCCTCTTGCCCCCGGGGATCTGGCCCATGAAGCACTTTGTGGATCAGTTTTAGGCGTGACCCTTTGCATGTCTGGAGCTGTTGCAGCTTCGGTGACTCATTGGGGAAGGAGGGAGGGTGGGGCCGAGATGTGGGCGAGGGTGAGCTGGCTCAGCACCAGGATGCGGGGCTGAGAAATGGGGCCCTGCTCAAGGAGGAAGAGGGTGCCAGGGCAACCGGTGGTTTCAGAGATCAGAGAAGCCATTGGGCTGGAAGCCTTTTTCCTTCTCTGCCTTGCCTGGCTCCTTGTCTGCAGGGCTGGCTTCTCGGTGCTGGGCGCTGGGGGAAGGTCCCATTTAAGTTCCAGCTTTGCTGTTTCACGTTGGGAAGGGTCACTGTGACTTCCTGTAGCGGCTCCCCTGCCTGCCGGGAAGGGAGGAGGCGTTTTCCCTGGCACACACCTGTGCCAACAGGGCGCTCACCCATCAGCGGCTCTGCTGCCTCCTAACAGCACCTGTGGAGGAGGCACAATGTAAATACCAAATGTGTGAGTTCAGGTGGTGGGCGGACTGGGGGTCTATGTGGCTGTCTTTACTTGTGTTGTTAGCTGCCTGACATTGGAACTGCTAAATGCCCATGAATTTCCAAGAGACACAGTCCCATCCTCAGAGGCAAACTCTAGCACTTTCAAGACCCCCATTTAGGGCCGGCTCCGTGGCTTAGCGGTTAAGTGCGCGCGCTCTGATGCTGGCGGCCCGGGTTCGGATCCCGGGAG